AAGATGAAGAAAATGATGTTTCTCGAGGACAGCTATTCTCTTTCCTTGTCCTCTGATCAGAGCTGGATTGAAGTGAGCTAATCTCACGCCCTTGCTGTGTCCATGAAGAATACAACAAATAACGACGTTATGGTAGTTTTTTAACCTAATTCTTGCGCGAAGTGATTCACTGCACATCTTGGAGACCTACATCTCCCTTGATAGTTGTTGGTACAGTGGGAAAGAGAAGGATGCTATGCGTCAGCAGGTGGAAAAAATAATAATGGTAATCTCGAATTCTTGGAAGTACCTTGATGTTTTCATGTTTATTTGTTCGTCATTATTTTTGTCAGCTTCCTTTTCGCATCCAGTCTGATCTTTTCCATCAAACAAACTGTGCTTCATCGTGCTGCTTCATGTACCAACGGAAACCAGTAACAGAAAATTATCTAATCATCGTTCCGCCGTTGCCGGTCCCAATCCCGGATGAAAAACGAGGAGGGATGGAGACTATGGCAAGTCTCCGTAAAATTTAGCCACCTGCCACTCATGGTATAGGTGCCATCGAAAATTATACCAGCTCATTCGTCGCCGTGCTTACCAAGGGTCGCACAGGCTGTTGGGGGACTGAGGCAGACTGCGAAAAGTATCAGACCCTGCTCACTGCCCTCTGCTAGCCGGGGGCGTAGCAGCACAACGATGGCTGACAAAGACCGCCGGAACGACGACAAAGATACTAGTCAGCAACGCAGTCGCTATCCGTTCGGAACGGAGGAGGCAGACAGCGCGATGCCATTATAGCACGTCAGAAAATGGTGCACGAGAACGACACCATCAGTGGCAGCTTAAAGTTGGAAATTGGAGTATATCCTCACTCAGACGAAAAGGGTTAGTTGATGAGGCTATAAAGTACCAACTCGTTATTGTTGGTCTCTCGTCAACGAAGCGCCAAGGCTTTGGAATCCTGAACCTCTGCTGGTGGAAGCTATTCTACTCAGGTGTCGATATCATGATGCGCGCTCAGGGCGATGTTGGTGTTCTCGTAGAACCCAACCTCGCTGATAGAATCAATGATTTGAATCCTGTCAGCGGAAAGGTGGTAATCCTCCGACTGAAGCTGCAACAGGCTAAAGCGATGACCTTGGTTCAAGTCTGTATGCCCATTTTTGAGGGACAATATGAGACCTTCCTTGAGGAAGTGCATCGTGCTCTATCCGAACTGCCGAATACGGAGTTCCTCATATTCGTGGGCGATTTTATCGCGCATGTTGGAGTAGGCGCCGAAAAGTTGAACAGCGTGATTGGAAAGAACGACCCTAGCGACCTTAGCAACAACGGCATGGTATATTATGAACACCCTCTTCGAGCATCGAATAGTGTGCATCAGTATACCAGGTACAGGTAAGCTATGGCATAGAAGTCGATGATCGACTTGACAGTCATATGGTGTGATTTACAACGCTCTGTAATGAATGTTCGTGTCAAAACAGGCGCAGATCTGTTAACCGATCATCACCTTGTTGTTGGCACGCTGCGATGTAAGAAATGGAGTACCATACGAAGATCTGGTGGCAGAAGCAACCGGAGAATCAAATGGAAAACATTATCTTCGGTGGAGACGAGAGCCAAATTTGCAAACATCGCACGACGGTTTGAACAGATCCCGGTGATGAACGCGGATGTGGAAACCGAATGGCAGCTCTTTAAGAGCGGCATACTCGAAGCAGCCGACGAATGCTGCGGATTTAAACGGATTGGCCTGCTGCCTGGAGGTCAGAAAACATCTTCATGGTGGACACGAGAGGTACAACTGGCAGTTAAACAGAAGAATGCAGCGTTCAAGAAATGGCTTGAAAACAAAGAGCTTTCTACTCGGTTGCGCTATGTCGAGGCACGTAAGGCGGCAGACAAAGCAGTGGCGAAGGCCAAAGCTGATTCCTGGAAGAAGTTCGGTGAGGTGTTGGAGTCGAATTTCCACACGGCAAACAAAGTAT